GCTGTAACAATATACAGGAGGGGCACAGAAATACTGGAGCAGAGCCTTTCTCTCTGTAGGAAATCATTTTTGTCTAGAGCCAAAACCAAATTGTGTATCCTGGCCAACTTTCAGCTCAAAGGTCAGCAGAGTACAAAACTCTGCTTAGCAGGGCTATACAAGCAGAAAGGGGWGGGTAACAAATTGTCTGAGTAAATGACCAAGCAGTACAGGACTACAAAAACATGTTTAAAAAACACCACTTCTGCATTTCTATAATCCAGCAGTAAATAATGGGAACCAGAAGCACTGGTGGTGAGCTTTGGCAGGTTTCTGTTGATGATAGTTGGGTTGTTTTTTTTAAATAGCTCATTGATTTTGGACTGCATCCATCTCCAGCATTGTGGCTACACTTCATGTAGTAATTTACTTCAAACCAGAGTGCACTTCCACAGCCAAGTCTTTGTTTTGTAAATGTCATTGCACTACAACACCATTAACCACACGCCTATTTCAAGCTGATATTCCTAAATTCAGTAAAAATAAGTATCAGCAACACTGCAACCAAGCCAAATGAAAATTGAAAATGTTTTGGACTCCATATAGTTCTGAGTGCAGTGTAGTATATACTCTTCATTTCTGGGACAGTTAAGATCAGTTGACTAATGGGCCCCGTTATCCATCCCAAGACTCCCTAAAATCATCCAGTCATTCCCATTCCCCATGGAGGCTTTCAGAGGAAAACCTTTGTGCTTAAAGACTTCATGGATCAACTAGGCATTAACTTTCAGGCATTTTACTGACAACCAGAAGTCCTGGAATCCATGCTTGCTACAAGCTTCCCTTTCTATCTCCTATCATTCACATCCTTCTCAGCTGCCTGCTTGGATCAGATGGCAACAGGGCAAACCTGTGTGCATGCACTGCAATGTCAGGGCAACTGCAGCTATCAGAAATTCCTAACTAGCATCTTCCCAATCCATACAAAGCAGAAGGGAAGCACAGCTTTGCTAAAACCCTTGCGTTAGGAGTGAGAGGAATAGTCCTACAAAGCTCATCTTTGCTCCTATAGCTGGAAGAACACTGGGACACCTGGTCCCAGCACCTCAGGGTCAAATAAACGTTATTCCAGAAAAAACAAGACAAATTAGTGCTTCATGACCAATAAGTTTTCGTTCATGGAAGCTTTCTCTTCAGAGGCTGAGTGAACAGTTCCTTTTGCCCGCTGTAAAAACAAGTGCAGAGAGCAGTATTTTTTTAAACTGCTGAGCTTGAAGTTTTTCACCATATCTCTGATAACTGCTAATTTGGTGACTGAAAAGTGATGTAGGTTTAAAAGTATCTTGTTCTGTCTCTCTGCAGAGCCCATCAGCAGAACAAATAAATTATCAGTGTTTGGATTCTCATTAGCTCAAATTAGCCTCAGCATTAGATGACAGGAGCAGAGCCAAGCTGTCTGTGAGCCCTTATGTGGCACCTGTTAGCACTCCATAAAGGACACAGAAAAGGGAGGCCAGGTTCTCTCTGCTGTCTGACCACAACAAAGCTTTCCTGTCAGACTATTGATACCTCTTGTGACAGCAACTTTCAGCCTGCACACCCACACCGCTCCTAATCCACTAACAATGAAGCAGTTCCCTTACTTAGAAGTGTCCCCAACGAGTSCAGGGACTGCTGAGGAAATTGGGGCAGGAATGGATGACTCTGCCAAGTAACACGCATCATCACCACAAAGACATCCATCTAAAATGATACATTTGTTTACATGCAAGCCTAAAAAAAACCACTGGGACACAGAAAATAGTAAATCCAAAGGAGAATCTTTAAATTATCAAAGGGGAAAGTGAGATATACAAAATCAAAGTGTTCCATTTCATCATTCATTTTAAAAGTTCTGCTGGGCAYTTCAGGCTGCAGCCACAGGAGCATTGACAAAGGCAGGCACATCTTTGGATGGGACAAAGTGACCTGCTCCAAGCCAGCTGTGATGAGCCAGAGGCTGACGGGCACATCATTAAAACAGGCACATTCTCCTCCATTACACTGCTCCTATTACAGCCTGGATCACTTATCTCATCTCATGCACTTCTCCTTGCCTGAGATTCCATTTGGAGCAGTYACGCATCTGTCAAGGGACTAAAACCATGGTTATGACTTTGAGGCTACACCACGGACCAGAACATGAAGAGAAAGTGAACTCATCCACTTTCCATGAAACCCTCCCACAGGGGCCTGGTTACACTCAACTGTCACACASCCACAAGATTTTATGTCACTGTATGATTTTACAGGAGTTGATTCTGATGATGTGCCTCCCAAGCAGCCAGCTGGCCCTTTCATTCCTGCCTCTCTCCCTTCCTCCTATTACTCATGGGGAGGGCATTTTACAGCCTGCACTTGATGCCAGTGGGCCTCTTCCTACTCAGACCAGTGCTACCAGCACTTGAGACACACAAACAAAACACATCCAATGCAGGAGCTTGATTTCATAAGTGTTTGAGCAAAGACTGGCTTGCTAATATTGAAAACTTTAAATGGGGAAAAATAGTGGGGCTGAACCTTAGTGCCAAAGCTGTCCATATATATGGATTGGGCACCAGCCCAAACATAACAGCCTACCCACAGCTGTGATACATTTAATGAAGTCTTACAAGCTAATTATTTTGCACAACTAAATCCAGCACCTGTGAAAATTGTCTTATTTCAGCTGTGGGCAAAGCTACTTAAATAACATTTTCAATTTCAAGACAAAAGCCCAAAACAGTATCTCCTCAAATCCAAAGTAACTACAGCCAACTGCAGTGCCACGGCATTGGAGTGAGAATATTTAATCAAACTTGTATCAAAATTCCTATTCACATGAGAAAGCTCCTCCGTATTAATACTTGTGGCACTCAATTGTCCTCAGAACTGCCTTCTGACTTCTTTGAAAGAACTTTCAAAAAATCCATTCTCTCTCAGTGGCCCCCCCTTCCAAAAAAGTTGTTCTCTTTTTCCCCAATGAAATTTAACTCCCACCACTAATGTTCTCAGAGATGGACTACTTCAAATCCATTTCTTACACCACAATCTTGAGAATTATTTCATCAGTATTGGTACAGTTTTTAACAGTTTTGTCTGCTTTAAGTGTATAAAAAGCAGTTAAGATTTCCTCAGCAGCAGGCAGCAGGCTAACTACTGCTTTGTTTTGACTACACTAACAGTACTAAAAATGTTTATCTATAAAAGTAAATTGTGCATGAAAATTGTACAAGTAAATATCRTTCCATACAAATGAATTAAGTGTTATTTTTCGTAAAGTCTGAGTCAGTTCTCRCTGCTGCAAGAAACATGAAATCTAAAAGGCATCTGAAGCTTCTAAAATCAGGGCTTCCTTTTCTCACTGTAAAATGTGCTGTTGGCACACACTTTCTCATTCAAAACAGCAACAAGTGAAAACAGACCAAAAGGACAGAGTTAATTCCATGCAAAATCTTCTCTCTCAGTAAATGTCTCACACAATGACACTCTTAGCAACAGAATGTTTATCCAGCACAYGATAAAGAGGCTTTTCACCTGGGACAAAACCGAAGAACAGAAGCAGCTCCCAATGCAAGAGAGCAAAGTTACATTTTTTCAAGTGTTCCCACCTAATGCAGACAGAAAGCCAGCCAGAGCAAGTCACAACAAACAATCTATTTACCCACTTCCAGAAAATGCTTGTAAATTTAAACTGTGTGAAATGTCCAACTGCCGCTTTCATTCCATCAAAAGGCTTCATCAGCAATGGACAATAAAGCCTCTGGCTTGACCTAAAGGGGCTGGTAGGTTAATCTATTCTGACCTTACCTTTATTTCATCATAATACTGAAAGATTGCTTGAATGAATAACCAGCATTTAACAATGCCAACAGCCACCCTTTCACGACAGTGCTCTTCTGAAGTGCCCTCCAAGCCAATCTTTTAATGATGGGGGAGATAACAAACATTTTTTTWAATTCATTGTAAAATAAACCAAAATGCCATTTCTCACTCATGGTAAAAAAAAAGGAAAGAGATATAAAAAACTAAAAGTAGAAGAAAATTTTTCTCTTGTCCCTTCATGTCTCTTTTAGACTTCYACCATCACTTACTGTCAATTTAAGATAATATGCTGTCTCTTATTAACTGTCAGTCACATTTTTTATTTATAGTATTTTCACTCAGATGGGAGAAACGAGACAAAAAAAGCTACTACTCCATAAAACCTGCCTTCTAACAATAGGCTTCATCATCCAGGCCTCAACACTTGGTATTTTAATAACTACTGGCTTCATTTCAGAAGCCATTSCAGGAGGGTGCTCAGCACCGAACACAGCAAAGCAGCAAGTTAAAATTAAGCACATAATTAGGCCCACAGAAGTCAGTAAGCTGGATTCAGCACTCACTGAMTGATTCAATCACTCAACTCTCGTATGTTTAAAGTTCACAGCCTATGTTTAAATGCCCTTCCGCAGCAAAGTCTCCAGTGCTCAGCACTACAGTGCACAGTTCTACCCAAGCATTTTCTTCCTTGCAATAGTGCAGTAACCACCTGTTTAAAGGAACTAAAATAGTCTCATATGTGCCTATCAGAGCAAGGTACTCTTGAATTTTGACATGAAGCAARAGCTGTGTTCTCATTTGATATATCAGAGCATTTACTCTTCAGCACCAACAAACGTGTCTTCGTTTAATGTTCTACACCTGTAAATGGTTTGGCAAAACAAGAGAATATCAAAAGCACGACCATCAGACACTTGAAAATGCCTTAAAAATCCATGCTAACCCCAGGAACAAGGTCTCAGCTTAAATCTATTCCTAATTAGATTTAGAAAGATGCTTAACATACCAGTCAAGATTAAGTGCCATCACCTTTATCCAAAAGCACAATCATCAAAGAACTGGGAACAAACCATAAGGCAGTGACAACAGCGTGCAGTGCAAGAAGAATGACAGAGGAAGGTGAGAGCTTTCATTTGGATTCAAGAGGATTCTGTTATAAACTACTCAAAAGTTCCTACCTTGAAAAGCTGTGATGTGACCAACAATCATGTACTTCAGCTCGAAGTTCAGGGMCTGGATACTCTGAGTCCTCTCCCTTCGAACAGCTGCCTGGTAGCTTTCTTCCATTTTTTTGGTGCAACATGTTGGTGCCCTGTGTTGACAGATCTGTAAATCTGACTCTTAAAGCAAACAAGAAAAACACAGTAATTAGAAAACCTTTGAGCTTACACCATAAAAATAATGTTTCTTAACATCAGAACCATCGCATTTTAAACTTTGAAACAAAAAAAATAAAATCCACAAGGAATCAAAATGTGAAACTCAGCTGTTGTCAGACGGACACAAATTAATGATTGTGTCAACTAAATGGGAGTACCACGACATTATCAGCTGATAAGTGATTTTCCACTGCTAAGAGCATTGGGCACAAAAATTACCTGGACACAATCAGAGGCACAAAAAAAATCATCATCATGAAGATGCACCATCAAGGGGCAACATTTCTACTGTACACCTTGTGCTAAGGGTACCAAAACTTAAACATGTGAATGAAATTATGCCTCAAATTAGGATCCAATACTCATCGACAATATGCCTCAAGGAATCACCTATTCACCTCTCACACTAGGAGAACTTTCTTAAAAATTCTCTGAGCTCCTAGGCATCACTTTTACCTTGCAACTACAGAGCAAGTTGAAAGTCAATAAAAAATTTCATGCTTACAGAATGTTTTCACTTTTTTTACTTGTGTCCTTGATAAGGAAACCTACATCACACATAGTTACAATGGACATTCAGGGTCTATTTGTTCYATACAATGGAATTTACAGGTGCCAGAAAGGATCTGCTACAGACTGCAGATTTTCTGATATTCCACAAATAAATGTTTTCAGAAAGGTAGCAAAAAAAAGGCAAGAGATACTTAAGTAAGCAAATTTAAAAGCAAAGAAGCACAAATCTCAGAGCCCAAACAGTCACACATTATTAGGTGTGAGTGACAGTGTGACAGGAGCCTTCTCCCCGCCACCCCATGGAAGAAACAGAAGCCTTGAGGGACAGGGGCTGCAGGTCCCCTGCAGGGTCCATGTCCATCCCATCCCTCAGGCTCTAGRSAAGGATACAGCCTTTCCCAGGAAKGCCMRTGYCACACARGTGGCCAAGTTCCCCGCTCCCACCCCACCAATGGCTGCATGGGCCATTTTAACTGGAGCTGGTATGTCACACACAGCACCTCCCTTTCTGTGCCCAAACCACTGCTTTAAACCACTGCAAACACCACTGGCAATCCCTGCCCGTACAGCACTGAAGGAACTGGAGGGAACACCAGGATGGAAACAGCCCTGATTCTCCAAAGAGCCATAATTCCTCCTGAGGATTTCTCACCCAGACCACACCTTGGGGTGGAAATATTAACAAATATCACCTGCAGTACCCTTCATACCTGGCATTGCAGGTTTATATACAACAATACTCCACATAACTGGCAGTGATTGAAAACAAGTGGATGCATACTGAAGACACAAGGACACACACTGAAAAATCAGCAGAGACACCCAAAAGACCAGGCTCTGCTCAGAGCCAGCTCCAAGACACCAGCTCACAGAGATCAAACCTGCAGGGAGCAGCTTCAATAAATCTCCCTTGCCAGGGAAAAAAATAAAAACAACGAGTTAGCTAAAACATCTCATTCAACTTGAAAATGTTGCTTCCAGTTTATAGCAACTCTCATTTGAAAGTGCAGCTAATTTATGTCAAAAAGGTCAAAACCAAAGCAAAATATTTCAATTCATTACATTTTTATGTAAGTTTGCACCATCAAAGTTGTCACAGACTGAGCTGATCCAGGATACCATTTTGGAGGTGGATTTGTTTCACACTTCAATCTAATGTCAGAAATAGGAAACAACAACTCTGCCCCTCCAGTGTGAAGCCCCAAACCCTGCTGAAGGCCCCGGCAGAAGCCAGCAGGCTGCCAGAAGCAGCAGCGGGAGGGCTGCGAGCTCGTCACCGCCTGGGCACGCTCATCTGCTCCCGGCTGCCAGAGAAGCTGTCCCAGGTTGAAATTAGCTTCTTGGCCAGGCTAATTTTAACTTGGACGAGTTCCTTGATACAGTTCAGCCCCTGAACACGTTTGTCCTGTCACAAGGGGCTTGGGGAAGGACCACTGCTCTGGGCTGGCACCAGCAAAGCATGAGTGAAATTTCAGTGCAGACTGCAGAGCGACTCAGTGATACACAAATGGGTGTCTGTGCAGAGGCTGCTCAAACCCAGAGCATTTCTCCTTATGGCAGCCCTCTGCAGTTCTGTTTGATGGGTTTTTGCAAAGCTCAGACCTATCTCAAAAAAGGTTTGAAATCCCAGGTGGTCACTGGTGACTCTGTGCTGGCAAGGAGGCAATCTRTGGCTATCAGAGCTGCACCTGGCATTGCCCTTTGAACCGAGGCACACAGGAACCTGCTTCTSCTCCAGAAAGCTTTGAGGATACAGACAGCTCAGCTGAATTTTGCTCCGGGGATTCCCCACCCAGCTATCTCCCCGGTGAATACTCCAGGAGTAGTATTTGTTGCTCCAGAGCCAAAATGATACTCTTAAATAGAAACAGCGCTAAGCCCCTGACAGTTAAGGAGCCTGATTTAAAACACAGAGCACTGAAAGCACAGCCCTGCTCTCCTCACAGGATTGTCAGCTCAGTGCTGTCATGCACACAGCCTGGCAATTCCACYGCTCCACTATTAGCCTGAGGGTATCACTTTTAACACAATTATAGAAACCTAATAAAAGRTTTCAGTGCTATACATGCCTGGGTGCCGAGATTAAATTAGAACTCATTAGTAATATCTTAATGTCTCTAATAACTCTGATACTAATTTTAGTTTATCTCATCTCTTTCATCTTAATGAAAAATACCCTTTCCAAGGAAGAGGGGARGCGCAGTGACAGAGGGGTGGCCAAGGGGCTGAGCACCCCAGGGAGAGAGCACCCCCTGCTCAAAGTGCTCAAAAAGCAACAGGGACACAGCCGGTAAGGGCAAACTCCTCCCTAAAATTTAATGAACAGAACCATTTGGTACACCAGAGAGAAAGCGCCATTCCTGAAAGACATGTTATCAACAGTATCATTTCAGCAATTCACCCTGCTAATCTCCCTCTAGGATTTTCTTACCCACTTTCCCCAAGCTGCCTCTCATTTCCCACCTAGGAATTTAGTTTAGGGGGAACCTCTAGCTCAACCTTCCCCTTAAAGCAGGTCTAACTACATAAGGACTTCATTCAGTCAAGTTTCAAGCATCTCCAAAGGGGAACAATACCACAGCTTCTCAGGACCCATTTAAATACTTTACTACCCTTATGGTAAAACACGTAAATTAAAAAATTCTATCTAATTTCCTCTGTTCCAACTCACATCTGTTGTTTCTCGGCATACCACCATGTATCTATACAAATCTGACTCCACTTTCTCTATTTTCTCCCAAAAGGTAGCTCAAGACTGCAGCATGACCCCCTTTAATCTTCTCTCCCTATAACTGAACAAACCCAGCTCTATTCCCACGTGTTCCTCTATTCCACAGCCCCTGACCGTGATGGGAACCCTCTGCTASACTGTGCCACAGATGCAAAGCACCTGCATCCCAAGGCACCTCTCTTTCTATTTCATTTTCTTATGCATTAACTTAGTGACTTTCAACTCTACATGCCTGGGCTTCAATTCCAAAAGGTTTATAGCTTTCCTAAAACAAATTAATTTTCTGCTTCAGATCAGATGTAAGGATTACTCTGCTGATTATGTACATTATTTTTCCATTCAAGCCTTTTTCCCTTGAGTACTCRTTAAAACTGTGGCTCAGCTTATTTTTCAAAGTGAGAAAAACTACAGACTTTAAATCCTTACTGTTATTATAAAAAACAGGATAAAGTAACTTGCTTCAATTTGAAAAACAAAGTCACATTCAGAAGCACGGGGAAAAAAAGTACTTGAGTCTAAAGCATGAGTGCTTTGGAATGCATCAATGATCCCTGCTGAAAACTACTCTGCAACCCCAAAGCACTTAATACATGCCAAAGGCATCACTTTCAGACACCTCCCTGTCACAATTAAAAATTACTTTAGGTGCCAAATGCACAGAAAACCATGTATCCTAACCTGGCATCCATCTGGCCAGCTCTACTCAAAATCAGCTGTGGCGTATTTTGTTGTGTGTTGCTTGTAGAATGTTTTCTTTTAAATCAAAAAGTTTGGGACTTTATTCTGAACTTTGGTACAAATAAAATCTAAGACTTTGGTCATTAAAACTAGCTGAATCAGTGTAATTTCCCAAAAGGAGAAAGGACTGTTTAGCAAACAAAATTAACTTATTCCAAAAGTTGAATATATATTTTTCATTTTGTTAGCTGTAGTTTAACAGTTTAAAATGCTGTACACATTGTAAAAGCCATACTCTGAAATCAGAAAGCCAAACTGTTAACACACTAACTGATCTACCTGCACTAACTTTTTTAGAGACAGGCTGATTTATTTTTTTCAAACAAGCTGAGCCTCTAATTTCCACTGCACAGAAGACTCCTAAGCAGGCATGATCAGAGGGTGAGCTCAGTGCAATCTGTCTTCTGACAGTTTTTGCCTTTGTATTTTGACAAACATTTCAACAGTATTTCCAAGCAAAGCTTTACTCCGAAGCCCAAGATTTCAATGTTGCACAAAWGTCTTCAAAGACTCCAAGATTGATTATTCCTTAGCAACACAGAGAAAGGTGCCAAAAGTACCTTGCTTGTGTCTGGCCCAGCTGAACAGGAGCCAACACTTCTTTCTTCTTGAGGCTCATCTGTCTCATGTAGCTGCTGCTTCAGCTTGAGGAAAATTCAGCAATTAAACGCAAACTAATTCAGGGGAGAAGGCCAAATCAAACGAAAAAGGAGATATTTCTAGCCAGGGCTCCCCCTGCAACTACTTGGGGCAGAGCCCACACCAGCACAGCCACATCAGGGAAAGGGAATCCAGGCACTGTAGGCTGMCACGAGTTTGTGAAATTCCGTTTTTATGTAGCTCTTGTGCCCCAGAAGTGCTAAAGCCATCACCACCTTCATCTGCAAGACTGCTGTMAAGAAACTTATCCACAGGCCATCCTCACCAAGCAGAGAGCACAGCTCCCTGTGCACAGCCTTACACACAGCTCAGTCCCACT